TAACGTGTATTTCTCTGATTCAGTTGGTGACAGCGGCTGAATTGGACCGTTGTTAATTTTGTGTGACCTTTGGATAAGATTTGAGAGCTGCAGCATTTCCTCTCCTTCAACAGGGCTAAGGGTTACTGGTGGGTAGCTGGGTGATGACAATAGGAATTGGTGGGAATTATATTTGGAAAAATAAAATGTTAGACATTCTAATAAGAAATGGCTTGTTCCGCATTTCAATCCAGATGCTAATTCCTTGGGGTTTGTACTGTTAAATGTATTGACTTTTCAGCCACTTGTTCCCAAAATACTAGTCTGGAAATGCAATGGTTTGTCTGAATCCTGGCTTCTGGTGGAGAGAGAGGCAAATGGGTGGTACAGTGGGGAGGCACCAGATCTGTACACTGTTCCTAGTGGAAAGAATGTCTTTGTGTTTGTCAAGGTTCCTTCCCCACTCTGAACTCTAGGGTACAGATGTGGGGACCTGCATGAGAACCTCTAAGCTTAATTATCCGCTTAGATCTGGTTTTGCTGCCACCACCCAAATTATTTATGAGTCATTTGGGAAACTCTGTCTACCTCCCCCGCAGAATATCTCCCTCCCAAGTACTATAACCCTTCCCTGGGTAGCCTTGAGAGACTTCTCCACCAATTTCCTGGTGAACACCGATCCAAACCCTTGGATCTTAAAACAAGGAGAAATTAACCATTCCCCCTCCTTTCCCCCACCAATTCCTGGTGAGTCCAGATCCAACCCCCTTGGATCTTAAAACAAGGAAAAATCAATCAGGTTCTTTAAAAGAAGGCTTTTAATTAGAGAAAGAAAGGTAAAAATCATCTCTGTAAAATCAGGATGGAAAATAACTTTACAGGGTAATCAGAATCAAAGAGCCCAGAGGAACCCCCTCTAGCCTTAGGTTCAAAGTTACAGCAAACAGAGGTAAACCCGCTAGCAAAAGGAACATTTACAAGTTGAGAAAACAAAGATAAAACGAACACGCCTTGCTTGGCTGTTACTTACAAGTTTGAAATATGAGAGACTTGTTTAGAAAGATTTGGGGAGCCTGGATTGATGTCTGGTCCCTCTTAGTCCCAAGAGCGAACACACTCAAAAACAAAGAGCACAAACAAAGCCTTCCCCCTCCCCAAGATTTGAAAATACCTTGTTCCCTTATTGGTCCTTTGGGTCAGGTGTCAGCCAGGTTACCTGAGCTTCTTAACCCTTTACAGGTAAAAGGATTTTGGTGTCTCTGGCCAGGAGGGATTTTATAGTATTGTACACAGGAGGGTTGTTACCCTTCCCTTTATAGTTATGACAGTGTTTTACTACAGGGTAAGGACTATCAGGAAATTCCCTGCCTGGTACCAGAGGCCTTGTTGCCAGCCCTACTGTATTTGAGTCTCTGATTGTCTTTGGAGCTTCAATGACAAAGGGTGAACTGTGGCTTTGCCATGAGCTATGAGTGAGGGGCAGTGTGGTCATGCTGCCCCTGGAGCAAACCAAGGGGCAGATTGTGGCTCAGAGGCACAGTCTCCTCTCTGGATGGGTCCCCACTTACTCTGACGGGGAAATACCCCCATTCCAGATCCATACCTTGCATTTCAGCATAGCCAGTACATTGGGGTGGAGCCAAGGCTTTGACCATTCCCCACATGGCCCCATCCACTCTTCCCCCCTTGTGCAAGGGAGTGCTGTCCTTCTCATGCTGCTACCTGCAATCCAGCGCAAGGGATTAAGGTTATGCACTCTTACTTCCTTGTGCAGCTGCCACATCTACCCGAGATTGACCATCATTCCTGAAATGTGACATTGCTTTGTGGTAATAAGTGTTTCAAGCTGTTTTGTGCTGGTACAGGGTGGGCATGAAGAACCTGACCTTTGCAGGTCAGAGATCTTTGCCACTAAGGGCAGAGTTTATAAGTCGGTGGCTATAGCTCCAGGGTGGGAAGAAATGTGAGCAGGTAGGCTCATGCAGCTTGAAAGATCGGATGTGGTCTTTTGCAAAACATGTGTGCATCTGCAAAGAAAAATAGCCTTTTTATGTTTTCTTTTTATTGTTCCAGTTTTTTGTTTGCTCCCCTTTCTCCATGCTTGTCATTTCCCCTCCCCCAAACACCAGTCCCTGTCTTTTTGATTTCTTTTTTTTTCTTTTGGCATGGGATGGGATGCAATGGAAGAAATGATTTTTCACCCCAATTTTGGCCAGCTCTGGGCTCCAGCAAGGGCAGCAGCACTCACTTTCCAGAGCTGGGCTTTCTAAAGAGCTGTGCAGCTCTGACTTACTCAGAAAGCTAGGTAGCTGGGTCACACACATTGCCTAAATGCTGACTCATGGGGAGGCCTTTGCATTGGCCTCCTCTGTGCAAAGAGACATGCAGCCTGGTGTTTGGTGTAGTTCAGCCAAGGCATTAAAGTCAGCATGTGGTTCCATCCTCACTCCGACTGCTGGGTCAAATTTGCTGCTGGCCTGCACCTGGTGTCCTGGTCAGAAATAGCCCAGCTTTGATGACCTGCCAGTCACATTATAAAATTCACCTGATAGGGGTTTTGGGAGAGGGGGCTGAGGGTGTCCTGCCTAGAACAATGCAGGGTGGAATAGAACTTTCCTTGCAGGTAGCTGACTGGCAGAGCTCCTGTCTAAATGATTCATTCCATGCTCTTGGGCTTGCTGTAATGCTAATGATATGTTAGTGTGTCTAAACTCTTGGAGAAGTGTTGCTTTTTATTATTTACATCAAAATAAATGACACCCAGTAGGAACTCCGAATAGTAGAGATTTACACAGACTTTGCATGGCTGTAAATGATAATACAAGATGCAGGGCAATGGTGGAACAGATCTGTTATTCCTGAATTTTTCATGTCAGACCCTTCCTGTCCTAAAAAGACTTGTTGTGGGGAATAGGACTAAACAATTGGGCGTCTGTCTTTTCTAATGGTTCTGGCATCCTCCAATTATGTGCTACCCCGTGGAATAGCTTCCAAGAAATATATTGACACAGAGACACACACAAAAACACCACAAGGCAATCAAGCACACCGGCACAACCCTCCAAAAAGTCACACAGACACCAATGAGATCAGCAAAATCACAAACAAAAAACATATGGTACATGATAACTAGGGCCCAGAGGTGAAAGTAAGCCGGTACGCCGGTAAGCCGTACCGGGGAGAATCAGCTTCCCCTGGTGGCAATTTAAAGGGCTTGGGGCTTCCAGCAGCGGCTAAAGCCCCAGGCCCTTTAAATTGCCACCAGAACCCTGCTGCCGGAGCCCTGGGGAATCGGCCTCTGCAGCTGGTAGCTCTGGGGTGATTTAAAGGGCCTGGGGCTCCCAGCTGCTGATGCCCCGAGCCCTTTAAATCCTGATTTAAAGCGCCTGGGGATTTAAAGGCCCCGTCTCTTCCGGTTGAAGCCCCGCCCCCTCCTAAGGACTCCAGAGTACCGGTAAGTCCTTTAAGTTAGTTTCACCACTGCTAGGGCTCTACCAAATTCATGGCCATGAAGAACGCATCATGGACCATGAAATCTGTCCTCCCTCCATGAAATCTGGTGTTTTGTGTGCTTTTACCCTATACTATACAGATTTCACTGGGGAGACCAGCATTTCTCAAATTGGGGGTCCTGCCCAAAAGGGAATTGCAGGGGATCACAAGGTTATTTTAGGGGGTTGTAGTATTGCCACCTTTGCTTTTGCACTACCTTCAGAGCTGAGCGGCCATAGAGAGTGGCTGTTGGATGGGCACTCGGCTCTGAAGGCAGTGCCCCGCCAGCAGCAGCGCAGAAGTAAGGGTGGCAATACCAGACCATGCCACCCTTACTTCTGCGCTGCTGCCTTCGGAGCTGGGCGGCCGGAGAGTTGCAGCTGCTGACTGGGTGCCCAGCTCTGCAGGCTGCAGCGCAGAAGGGTGGCAATACCATACCAGGCCATCCTTACTTCTGTGCTGCTGCTGGCGGTGGCCCCTCCAACAGCCGCTGCTCTCTGGCTGCCCAGCTCTGAAGACAGTGTTGGCGCCAGCAACAGCGCAGAAGTAAGGCTAGTAGTACCGCAATTCCCCTACAATAACCTTGCAACCCCCCACACCTCTTTTTTGGGTCAAGACCCCTACAATTACAACACTATGAAATTTCAGATTTAAATAGCTGAAATAAAGAAATGTATTATTTTAAAAATCCCATGACCATGAAATTGACCAGAATGGATCGTGAATTTGGTAGGGCCCTAATGATAACTCTGTGGAGAAAGGAGACAGACATACTCATAAATTCAGATACACTCACACACATGCAAACATGGACTCACTTGCACAGAGACGCACATATATAGAGGCAGTAACACACACAATTCACACACATGTAAATGCACAGGCACACTCACACAGGAACACAGACAAAATGTGAGACAGAGACACACCCAGAGACACATGAGCAGGACCCAGTGGGACATAAACACAGAGCTATAACCACACACATACAAGCACCCAGAGGGTCACATGCACATGATGCAATATTGATATTGCACACACACACACAGGGCCAGCTTTAGGCCAATTCCACCAATTCCCCGAATTGGGCCCCGCACCCAAGAGGGCCCCGCGCCCAGTGGGAGGGACGCCCAGAGTGGGGGGCAAGTGCCAGAGAATCCTTTCCCTGGCTAGAGGCACCTTTTTAATTTTTACTCACCCGGCGGCGCTCCAGGTGGCGGTTCCTTCACTCGCTCCGGGTCTTTGGCGGCACTTTGGCAGCGGGTCCTTCAGTGTTGCCGAAGATCCGGAGCAAGTGAAGGACCCACCGCCAAAGACTAGGAGCGTGGCCCGGTGAGTACAAGCCCCACGTGGTTTTTTTTTTTAGTCATCCCTGCCAGGGCCCCGTCGAAACTGTTCGAATCGGGCCCCGCACTTCCTAAAGCCAGCCCTGCACACGCATAGTCACAGAGAGGTACCTCCCCTGCTTTCACTTACACATAGATCTGGTTTGTTCTAAACCCCAGTGCTTTCTTGTCTTGTTTTAACAGATGACTGCCACAGCGCAACAGCCGGCTAAGGCACAGCCAGTGCACATCACAACACCCTCGGCAGCAGCCAACCCCCCAGTCCCCAGCACTCCTATTGACCCTCAGGCGCAGCTGGAGGCTGACAAGCGAGCTGTCTACAGGTACAGAGAAACTACTGCCAGGCTGCTCTTTAATGTTCCTTCCCAGCACTGGAGTGGCACGTTGAGCTATTACTGCAATCTGGCCTGGGGCTAACATGTCAGCAGGAGTCTACAGAGAGGCATTTGCTTAGGCGTCCTTCTCAATAGATTTGTCAGGAGGCAGCGTTCGGTTCACCTTAAACTAGGTGAGACCCATCTTCCAGAAGAAAGAGTTCTGCTCTCTTTGTTAGAGAAATTAAAGGTACCTACACACCATCCTGCTGAACAATGTGCAGGAGACAGTGACCCCAGTGCACCTGGGATGCTAAAGATCAGGAACAATTACTATGTGATGGAAGATACTAGGATGAACTGCTCAGTGGATACGGGGGAATTCTGAATTCCTTCTGTTACTTTCCCTTCCTAATTTGTTTGGCTTCTCACCTGGTTATTCCTCGTACCTCACTGGTCTAAAATAGGGTGACCAGATGTCCCGATTTTATAGGGACAGTCCCGATTTTGGGGTCTTTTTCTTATATAGGCTCCTATTACCCCCATCCCCTGTCCCGATTTTTCACACTTGTTGTCTGGTCACCCTAGGTCTAAAATGACCATGGGATTCAGTTATCATTGCTTTTTTAAAGGGGAATGTCTGGATACCGGGATACTATCTGATGCCTGTTTGGCTGCCTCTGTGACATAAGTAGTCAGCCAGACCTGCTCACCCTGCTGTCCAAGCCCCCCCTGGGCAGCAGGCTCACACTAGCAGTAATCCCCACTCCTCAGGGCAGAGAGCTAGCCCACATGATAGACCATGTAATCATCCACAGCGGTGGGCTCATCCTCTCCTTAACCCCTCAGCCATCACAACAGGGTGACTTTTGCATTGACCCTTCTGGGTAATTTCCCATCCCTGGCCTCATGTGTAGACACAAGAGGATGAGGAGAACATTTGCTCTTTAAAACTAAAAGTTGTCTGTATTATTAACTGCTAACACAGATGAGCAAGCAGCAATGCCGCTGAGCAGGGATCCCAAATGTAGGCTCAAGGGGATTCCTGCTTCTTCACCTGGCAACCTTTACACCTGGCTTTATTTCCTCTTTGATCCAAGGAAAAGGTTCTGCCGATTCAGCTTTCAGTGCATCTGGCCCCCTACTCAACTGGCTGGCCTACTGGACAACGGGGTGGGCTCCTTGGTGAAGAGATTGAGAGCTGGATTCTGCCCTGCTCTGTCCCTGGGTCAGTCATTTATCCCGGTGCAAAATAGGTGACTATCAGACCAGAATGGCAGCGTTCTGTCCCCGCTTTGCTCGGGTGTATGGAAGGGCAACCGAGGCCTGGAAACTGAGGAACATTTCTGGTGGAGTGTCTGTAGCTGCATAAAAGCTAAAGTGATGTCTTTTTGTGGGCACTGAAGTAGACTAAACAGGTAGGCACTCCCAGTAAATGCACTTAGTAACTGGGTTAGCTGGTGCTACTCCAGCACGTATGTATGAGAAAAGAAAATATCTGGAATAAAAAAAAATGCAAGAGAAAAAGCCTCTCTCTGCAAAATGTCCATGACAGCTGATAGGAATGGCTGCCTCCTCTCCTACATTATTATTATAGTTATACAAATGTTGATCACAAGCTCTAAGCACTCAATAATATAATACAGGTATCTAGGTTCTGCTCACTGAATGTACCATCCAACCTCAAGAGTAGAGAGTGCCATGGGGCAGGGCAGAATATTTGGTCAGTCTTTAACTGCTCATCCAAGCACTGGAATAAAGGGAGGCTGGTGGTATTAGAGGTGCAGCTGCAGTGGTGTTTAAGATTGCCTACAATTTTCCATTGTAAGACGGTGTTTTCAGCTGTTACAGTTTTTGCGGACCTTAACCATGCGGGTTGAAATTTTTCATGCTTGTTCTTGGCTTCAGAGGTTTTTGTTGTTTTGTTTCTTTTGAAATTTGAGTGAGAACTGTTCAGTTGTTTTTCAGCGAGGTCAGTGACAGGTAGCCGTGCCATTTTTTTAAACAGTTTAATGCTTCTATGGTTTGGAGAAGGAACTTGAAACTTGGAAGCCAGAGAGATCCTTTCCACTGTCCCTGTGAAAATTCATCCACATTTTGTCAAGTTATAAGATACAGAAAGTCCTCATTTGTGCATGCACTGTAGAACTTGTTCAACATTGATCCCTTAGGGTACATCTACATAGCAAAAAACCCTGTGGCATCACATCTCAGAGCCTGGTTCAACTGTAGAGGTTCCTGCTTGGGCTGGGAGCCCAGGCACTGAAACGCAGCGAGGGGGGAGGGTCTCAGAGCCCAGATGCCAGCCCAAACAGGAACCTCTACATGGCTATTTTTAGCCCCACAGTGCAAGCCTGAGTCAGTCTATGCTATTTTTAGCCGGTGGTGCGAGCCTGAATCAATTGACCCGGGCACTGAGAGTCACTGATGTGAGGGGTGTTTTGCAGTGTAGATGTGCCCTTAGTTTTATGAATATTTCAGCCAAACTGTTTGTGCTTCTAGGACCTACAGAATTTCCTGCATCACATGAGCTAGTGAGCCACATTAAACACAGCAAAATAGATCTTCCTGTTTCTGTTAATAATCCTTTGTACTTAACAAACCTTATTATTGAGCAAGACCTCATATGTCCCTATCCTAGAAAGCAAGCCTCCTCCTTTTACTGATGAGATTGCACAACATCACAGAGAATCAGGTATCAAATATGGCAGACCCAAGGACTCTTCCACTTAGCCACACCGTCTCTCAGAATGCATATACCAAATCTGTGCAGTTGGTTAGGATATTTGTAAGATATCCTACCTACCCACTTTTGAGATGCACACATTAATGAGCACCATGTAAATCCAAAACACCATTGACATCCAAGAGTCTAAACTCTCAGGGCTTGTCTACTCTTAAAATGCTACTATCTGTGCCGACAGGAGGGATTCTCCTGTTGGTGTAGGTAATCCACCTCACTGAGAAGCGGGATTTGGGTTGAGGGAAGAATTCTTCTGTCTACATAGGGACTTAGGTCGGCTTAACAACGCTGCTCAGGTGGTCTGAATTTTTCACACCCCTAACCATAGGCGCCAACTTCTGCTCCTGCCGGTGGGTGGTTGACCTCCCTCTGCCCATGGCTCCACCCCCATTCCATCCCTTCCCCCAAATCCCCACCCCTGCCCTGCCTCTTCACACCCCTGCTCCACTTCCACCCCACCCCCTTTCCCAAGTCTCTGCCCCCACCCTGCCTCCTCCCTTGAGCACACTGTGTCCCCGCTCCTCCTCCTGAAATGCTGGGAGGGAGGGGGAGGAGCAGGAACGCGGCGCGCTCAAGGAGGAGGTGGGGAAGAGGCGGGGGGAGCTTGACTGCCGGTGGGTGCAGAGCACCTGCTGATTTTTTCCCGTGGGTCCTCCAGCCCCGGAGCACCCATGCAGTTGGCGCCTATGCCCCTGACCAATGTAGTTAATCTGACATAAATTTCTAGTGTAGACCAGGCTAAGTCCTCTGATCTCCAACATTCTTCTGGAGGTTAGTGAACAGTTGTGCAAAACACTGGCGAAGTATGCGTCATCTCACCCTCTAGTGACTGGTGTGCTTTGAGAACAATAGCCTACTACTGCTACCAGCTAATGACATTAGTTCTTCAATGCAGGTGGTTGAAGTCAGTAGTGTTGCTCAGAACGTTCTGGGTTCAAACCCATGCCGGGAGTCTATGGTTTCACATGATGGAATTCCTTTCTTTTACTAGTTTTTTTCCCCCTTGTGTGTACACATTATGATTCTAACTTCAGTTACACGATGCTCCGCCACTGTATGCTATGTTAACAGATGACGACAACATTGAAGTATTTGGCCCTCGGATGTGGAACTTCCTCCCTGTGAAATCTCCCTTACTCCCTCTGGCCCTGAATTTTAAAAAGCCCCAAGTCAGTTTTCCCCCCAAAGGTGTTAGAGGTTGTCCTGTATTAGTTTCCTTTCATTACTGCATTGCCATCCTTTGTATTAGAACCTTGTCATCGGGCAGTCCCACCTGGAGTGCCCTCCTGCAGCAGGTCACAGCATGCCAGGTGAACCTGCCTCACTTTTGCCTTTCAGAAATCCCGCAGACTCCACCACAGGCTCCCTTGCCTCAAAAGTAGCACTCCTTGGGCCTGGTTTATTATAAAAACATCATGCAAATACTCTAACACTAAGAGTCCCAAACATAGTCCTGAAACCCTGCTCTGTGTAGCAGAAACACCCCACCAGGCTCTCTTCTGGGCACGCCCCCTCACCAGACTCTGGTGTCACCCACCACACCTGTGCTCTCGGGCCCCGCACCAAAGGCAGGTGGAGGGTCTGCCAAGGCTCCCCACAGCAGCCTGGATGGCTGTTACCCTGGCCTGGCCAGGGGGGCAGGGCCTTGGAACGAAGAGGAGGGGCAGACCCACAGCGGGGGCAGGGCCTCATAGCCCTCCTACTTTCATGAGGATCCAGCACCCCTAGAACACTTCTGCTTCTCCACCTGTCCCTCTGGCAGCTCTCCACTGCCCTTCCTGACTGGTCCAGGCAGCTCTGACACAGCAGGTCTCCCCTAGTCACAGCCTCCCTGACTATTTATAGGCCCTAGGTGCTGCCCTGCCCTCTTAATTGGCAGAATGGGAGCATCTGCTCTGGCCCAGGAGAGCTGGGCCTACTTCATTCACAGGGGCCAGGCACCCTGGGACATGGGCAGCGAGTTGTATGGGCCCGTGGTGCCTGGGCTCCAGGAATATTCAGGGCCGGAGGTTTGGAGCTGGGTCTCTGCCCTGGAGCTGCCTAGAGCGGGCCCCGGCTCCCGCCTGCCAAACCCCCCCCCCCAACGGTCTCCCCCCTGAGGCCCGGAGCGTCCCTGCCTGAATGAAAGTGGCGCGCGGCTCTCCCTTGCCTGCCTGTGCTGCCAGCGGCTGCTGCTGCCTATGGCTATAGCACAAGAGCAGCGCCAGCAGACTGAGCACCTCAGGAGGGGAGGAGGAGGCACACACGTGCTTGGCAGCCCTCCCCC